ATGGGGAGGCGGAGTCTTGTCCACAGCAGTGTCCCTGCGCCCTCTGGTGCAGCAGTGAGGCGGAGGCCATGGCTGAGTCCCAGGGACCACCGACAGCCTGGGAAACCCACAAGGGCTGCCCCACCTTGCTCTGTGAGTGAGGACCGACTGACTGCCTGTCAGGGAGTCTGCCTACAAGGTTATGTATGCCTTGCAGTTACAAGGAACAGGTACATAAATTACAGACACTGTTTCAGGGTCACTTGCCCCAGGCCAGGCACCTGGGGGACCGACACACGGGGCTCCCGTCACAGGGCTTGGTCTCTGCACCCTGGGGCATGGTGTCATCGCTGTCTGCCGGCACCGCACTGGAGTCAGCAGGAGCCACAGTGACTGTGCACTGCCCAGCCCTGCAGCAATCCCATGGCCAGCCGCGGGCCCCATGCTGGATCTGAGGGAGCCGATTCCCAGGCTTGTCTTCCTGGTCTCAGTTGGGAAGCTCTGCTGAAGCTGGTCCAGTACCCCTGCTCCTTACAGCCCCCCCACTGACAGATGGGGGGCCAGGAATCCATCCCTGGCCTCCTGTGTTGGAGGTAGGGACCCCACCCCGAGCCACATGGCTGGTGTGTTTGAGGCTCGGAGGTGCCTGGGCAGAGCATAATTATGTTTAAGTGCACGTGCTGTATGAACACACCACCTGTCCATGTGTGCTGCTGCAAAGAGTGTGGGAAGAGCCACGGACTGCCAAAAGAGAGAGGGAGAAGGGCGGCCAGAGGCCGTGGTCAGGAGAGGCCAGTGGACACGTGGTCAGGAGAGGCCAGTCCCTGGAGAGGGGCATCACGTTGGGAAAGTGGAGGGACAGTGACAGAGAGAAGACCCTTGGGGAGATGGACGGCACCGTGGTGGCTGCAGCAATGGGCTCGGACAGCAGAACAACTGGGAGGAAGGCACAGGACCGGCGATGCTTTGTCCTGTGCTCCACCAGGCGGCTGTGGGCCGGAACCCACTGGGCAGCACCTGACAGCACAGCAGCGGCAGACTCTACGCAAGGTCTGGCCTTGCTGCAGGGTGCCCCGCCCCGTGGTGGCA